GCATTCTAGCTGACTGGTAAGTGATATCGTTGGATTTAATTTCTCTCAGCTTACATCCTCTGTAGCTCTGTCGCAGAATCCTTTTCATTAGAAGTGCAAGAAGCCGAAGAGAATTTCGATCTTGCATTGATCGGTTCTCTCGAGATCGATGTCATACCACAGCTAGGAGACATGCGTATTCCAGATACGCTTGTGGCGGAACTGGCCAAAGTCCTGAGGCACGGCAGCTGCTTACACGAGGCAGACGTGCCAAACAGCCCACCGGTCGCGACTACGCCCCCTTCACACAAGAGTTCTTCATCGCATGATTTTGAGACGGTTAACATGCCGGAATACGGGAGCACATTTTCAGGAGTATCGCTTCCGCGGGAAAGATTCTCTTACTGGTGTTTCGATCTTCTTTTTCTGATATGCTCAGATACAGCTAAAGGTATGAAGGCGTCGTGTTTTCATCGAATAAATGTTCATTATTGATTTCCCCATTAGACCAAGAGGCCTCTCGTCGACGTGTTGCGGCACTGAGTATACCGGCGCTTCTCAATCGCTGCCAAACTACTTTGGTGAGGTATGTGGCAGACGAGGCTCTGCGCGGAAATCTACCATTCCCAAGGTATATGGGCATTTTTACTGGCTTTGCTCTGGTTTTAAATGTACGCATCGCAGGGCCCGTGAAGATGAACTGTTGTATGTGCTTCGCAAACTACTCGAACTCAAACTGTGGCCCGGAACCCTTTGGGCTGCGATGTCTGATGCACCATCCACTCATTGCTTGCAACAACCCGGCAAGTTTCATGCAACTCACATAGAAGATATCTGTCTCTGACTATGAGCGCAGCTATCGATCCCAGCCTTTCTCCTACAGAGCTCATTCAAGACTCGGTCAAGCGCTCACCGGTGGCCCATCTTTTCCAGATCTACCATATCCTCGGTGATATTGCGTCTATTCCCCGCAAGACTCCCTCAGGTTGGGTCATGGCTGAAGCATCTTCTCCGAGTTCACCTCGTACAAAGGGTACATCGTCGGTAACTCCACACAGTACTATTGGAGTTTCGCCCCAGAATGGTATCGCCGTAGAATTAGACGCGCGCACTCTAGCCCGGGACTGCCTGAGAGCCATCGGGCAAGAGATGGGCATGGGTCTCGGAAACCGCAATCAGTGATACTCGTATCATTTACATTTGACTGTAGATATAATGCTTTCTTGAATAACCATTGTTGGTGCCATCCATCACACGCGTACGGCTGCGGCTTGGCTGCGGTGACTTCGGGGATGTGCGGAGATTACGATCATAAAATCCGATGACGATGATTCCGATCTGCACTACAGCTTGTATTCCTCGCTCATCATGGTAAGAGTATAGAGGGCATACCTTTCACTTGACGCTAATCCTCGATCCCCAGGCCGTTCCATCAACCGTTACAGATCTCCCTCAAGAGACTAGTCGGTCCTATTGATCCTTCGAAAAACTTGCTATCAGCTTACTGATTTTAATTGTAGTCGCTTTTGCCCATCGTATGTTCCAAGCGGCCCGTGATGGAGATTCTGCTGCACTCCTTCAAGCTGTGGACGCTGGATTGCCCGTCAACCTGACGAACGATAAAGGTCAGTCTCTCTTCATTGCACACCAAGTGCTCGGTGCTCCGAGTCTGATACCTTCTTACCAGGGAATACGCTTCTGATGCTAGCAGCCTACGCTGGTCATACAGAGATCACAGATGCTCTTCTCTCCCGCGGAGCGGATCCAAACAGACTCAACGATTTGGGCCAGTCTACGGTGGCAGGCGCGGTGTTCAAGGCTCATGACGCAGTGGTCCATTCCTTGATGAAAGCTGGGGCTGATCCCAGAATCGGAACCCCTACGGCGGTTCAAACCGCTCACATGTTCGGTCGAAAGGACCTGATGGAAGTTTTGGGAACTAAAGAAGAGGATGTGGGAACAGAAGTACCAACACCACCCAGCTCGTTGCCCTGATAGGGTACTCCACCTCGCAGATCGTTTCACAACATATGGAAAAAATTGAATTGTAGAATTACACTATTCTGCGAAATCTGGGGTCGGAAAATTGTGGGGGGGGGGGGGGGAGCTATGAGGAAGTGAACTCTCGGCGAAGATGAGAGTATTTTACCCTGCGAATTGCAGCTGAGATAAGCTGTCTGGCACGTGAGAGACGGTATTCTAACTCGACTGAAGGCCCGATAATCAATCTCGACACGCAGCAATCCTCAATTGGATCGAAGCGAAACAGCATCCAGGAGCTTTACGAGGTCGAACGGGAGCGCATGGGTAAGGAAAAGGTCACGGAAAAAGGACATGACCTGTAATTTGGGAATGCATGTAGCGAGTGCGTGCTGTACAACTATGGCCATAGCGGGTGAATTGCCGGACATACGAAGTGTCTAGCTTTGGGAACCTGTCCGGTATCCACGTTTAATCCCCTCAATCGGTGATAGAGTAATCTCCGCTGCCTATGGCATGCAACCACGGTAGGGCAATACATTGAAGAAATATCGCCGCAAGAAGTTCGGAGGGAAATCGTCGAATCGGATAGAGCAACGCTAGATGTCTAAGATCTTTGTCCGTGATCGTGCATAGCAGTTTTTTCTTTCTTTCGAGCTCGGCTAGGATTTTCTTCAGGTCTCAGATTTTTCTATCGAGCTCCAGCTCGAGGATTTGGACAGCCACTGAGCATATGCTATCGCAGCGCCTGAGGATCAAACACTACTAGCGTTGCTGTGTAAAGCATTTTGAAAAGGCGTTTGCGCAAGATGGACGTCTGGTCTGGTGAGAGAGTTTCCGCAAATCTTGCAGCTGCAAGCGGCTGGCATAGTGGAGACCCAGTGAAGATCTGCAAGGCGGATGGCAGCGCATTGATGGGGATGAATGTGAACAGGAAGAGATAGCGTTTACCCAAGCTGACAATCAGACACTGATTTTATCACCCTTGGTGACTAGTTGATTAGAATTATAGTTAGAAGGGAGTAAGTGGTCCAGTCAAAGTCCAGTGATGAGCAAGTAGTGAATGGTGTCGACTGGGAACAGCTGCCAGAAGTCTCACTGCGGCCGCTGGCGGTGCGGTCCAAAGATTTTCTCACGCAGGTACAAGTGGCACTTCGAGTGGATATCGATCCTGCCGCGTGCCTCACACATGCATGTACTATTCAAAATAGGCTTAAATAAATTCAAGAAGTGGGTGCCGAAATACCATCGCTGTGTAATCATAGAGAGTTGACAAAGTAGTCTAAGTCCCTCCATGAAACTTGCAACCCAGCAGCGTGCAACCTAGATACACACGCAACCCACTCGACAACGATATCCCTAAACGAATCACTCGATTGTGCTAACCTATCCATGCTAGCCCGAGAATTTTTGACCTCGACTCGCTGAAGCCTTCCACTAGCCCGCGGGAGCATGCCGTCCAAGAAATTTATCAAGTCGGTAGGGCAAGACGTGTTTCTCCCAGAAACAAGATCAAACGAGACGACCTGCAATTTAGGCAATACCGAAGCAAATGCCTCAGACTTCCATAAGTCTTTCATCATGGCATCGGCGTTGCAACGCAAGCACAGATTTTTGAGATCGGGGATGGCTTGAAAAAGTTTAATCATGGACACAACTCTCCCTTTTCCATATCGGCACTCCGAATATAAAGTGAGATTTTGAAGTTTGCCGTGTGATAGCAAAGGGATTATTTGGGAGATGGTTCCATCATCAAAATCTTGCCGTTTCAATGAAAAATCTAGTAGCGACGGGGCATCTAATATGTGGAGGAGAAATGGAACCATCCTGGTCGACCTCTCCGTGATATATAGAGATCGCAAGCGGGGAAGCGAGAAGGGTGGATAATTGCTTTTCAAGTATTCGCCATAGCTGTTGGGGACATCAAGCCGACACCTCTCCAATGCGGGCATCAACCGGAGCGCGTCAAGATATTGCTCTGGAAGAGCTGAAGCACCAAGGTCACAGTCCCGCAACTGACCCCAAGGCACTAGTGTAGAGACTGGCGACAAATAATGGGACAACTGTAAGGATCTAAGCTGAGGTGCCGTGTGGAATATATCGACGTGGGCTGATCGCCAGCGCGCGTCCGTGCATCCAACCGAAAGCCATTGAAGGTTGGGGATCCGATTGTGAATGAAGGCATACTCGGCAATCAGAAATAAGCTGCGGGAGAGAAGCAGAGAAACGCCACGCCACTGTTGACTGCGGGATAAGAAAAGGTCCATAAATGGTAGCATGTCATGGGCCGCTGAATCATGCGGGCTGGTGAGGCATATGAACAACGGCTTATCGAGTGCGCGTCCCAACCACATTTCCATTAAGGGGAGATCTGTCACCTGATGATTTGGCGAAATGGTCAGGGCAATACTAGTCCACAGGGTTGGAGTCCGTATGGACAGACTTCTCCACAAATTGCACACACCGCTCAGTACTAGTGGCGCTTTATTGAGCTTCACAGTCGATCGACTGGGTATATCGCCGAGATTATTGAGATCGAGGGCAGGATAGTCGTCGTTGACGATATCATACAGCCACGGTGTATCGACGCACTGGAGAAAGATCTCCGCAAGAACTTCCAGTGGAATTCTGCTAATTGGGTGTGATGTTGGAGAATTTCTGCGATCTTGATTTTGGAACCGAAGGTCCGCGTTCGTCGTGGTGAGTGCAGACTCAGGCCGGCAACTGCTAGGAGAATCAGAAGGCACATGTGTATTAGCAAAATATACACTGCTTACACCTCAGCCTTAGAATGAGCGTCATTTTTCATGAGCGGAGATTTTATTCCGATGATCGACAGTTTGGAATCGTATAACAAGCGTCGCGTTGATCAGTACTGCAATACAACTTCAATTCACAGTGATGGAGGTTTTGGATAGGGAAGCTTTGCACGCTTGATCGAGTCACGGTGAAAGCTGTCAACATCTGCCAACATTTGAAATATTTACATCCGAGATCTGCACATGAGTGTATTATATGCACTACATCCCAGCATCCGGAAGTCCCAGCTGGTGTAGTGGTCAACATTGCCGCCTTTCACGCGGCAGCCCGGGGTTCAATTCCCCGGCTGGGAATGTTTTTTCTTTCTTTTTGTGACAAGCACAATTCGTAATTATCTGACAGCTGCGCCTTTCAAATCTCGGCGTCTGCGTCCTCTTCCTACCTTCCGCATGCCATCCCCTCCCTCAGCTACGGATCCTGCAAACCTTACTATCCGGAAGCCAAATTGCACCAACCACCGACCTAACAAGCGACTCAAACTCGAAGACTCTCCTTCCCCGAATTCCGGTCTCACGCAATCGACTCAGACCCAGATATCCAAAGGGAAGCCGAAGGAACTCTCCGACATAGACAAGGAGGATGACAAGGAGGATGAAGATCACCAGTGTAGCATATGCCTGCAGCCCCTCGTCGACCGCACAGTCATCCCCACCTGTGCGCACGAGTTCTGCTTTGAGTGTATCCTAGTCTGGACAGGTATGGTTCAAATCGCAATGTATCCGTTGGGTTTGTTTGCTTATTATATGAACAGAGCAATCTCGCAAATGCCCCCTTTGTTCTCAGAAAATCCACGAATACCTGATACATCACATTCGCTCCAAGTACGACTACCAGAAACACTATCTCGCGCCCCTCCCAGACCCGCACGCGTCGCCTGTCCCCCTTACACGAACCTCTAACGACACTAGAGCGGGCTCACATCGCAACAGGGCTCGCGAGCGCACATGGGGACGACGCGCCAGGATGGAGGCCGAGGAGCGGCAGGTCGCTGATGAGCTGGACCGCGCCATCGCTCGACGCAAATGGGTGTATGAACACCGGCTCTTCGCCAAGGTCCGTTTCTTCTCCCTCGCTCTTCCATCTTCCTTCATTGATCTTTGTGACTATAGCACATTGCTTCAAATCCATATACTCGCTATCGCCCTTCACCCAACCCGGCGCTTTTTGCCTCCTCGCCAGAGCTCATCAGTCGCGCTACTGCGTTTCTTCGACGCGAGCTGCGTGTGTGGGAAGTAGATGTCGAATGGCTTACGACTTATGTAGTGAGCCTTATGAAGTCTATTGACGTGCGCTCAGAGGCAGCCATTGGGTTGCTCGGCGAATTTCTTGACTTGGACAGGGATGGAGACGGAAATGGGGGACGCAGGGCGGCGGAACACTTTGCACACGGTGAGTGCTTGATTACCTTGCATAGCAAGAGCAGCGGTGCTAATCAAGGTTGGGTTTTAGAAGTATACTCGTACTTGCGGTCTCCATATCGCGATCTAAATGTGTACGATACCATCGTTCAGGTGAGTCTCACCTCGTTCCGATTTTAGTATTTTTAATACCACTGACCGAGATTTGTTTGCCAGTACGACACACCCGAGGACCTCCCGCCTCCAGCCACACTGGAGCAGAGCAGGCGATGGAGAGCCCCTCCTTCGCCATCCCCGTCACGTTCCCGGTCCCGGCCCCGTTCTCAGTCTAGCACATACTCTCCTGAAAGGAGCTCGGACGACCAACGACGGAATATTCGGCGAAGCAGAAGTCGAAGCATACATCTGGACGAGCGACCCTTAATCCTCCAAGGGTCGCGGCTCCAGGATCGTACAAAGTCCAAAGGCAAACAGCGTGATCGTGGTGAAGAAAGATCGCGCTCACGGTCTAGAACTCGGGAAGGAGACAGGGACGCACGAGGGGAGCGCTTACGCAGGGACGGAAAGGGCAAGCGACGCGATGTGGAAGTAATTGACGTTGATATGGATGAAGATCATCGCCGTCTCGGGCACCCGAAGGACCACCGCAAGCGCGATAGGAGCTGGAACAGAAGCGATAAACGAGATAAGAGAGACGCACGTGAGGGGTCGTCGAAGGAGAGGAAGAGGAATGTGGAGGTCATCGATGTGGACTTGCTAGGCGAGAAACCCTCCCACAAGCCACCTAATAGGGCGGGTCTGGTCAGCAACAAGTATCCAGAGGATGCACAGGCTCCGCCCGCATCTACCTCCTCCGCAATACCTGCCACAGAGGTAGCAATGGTGGAAAGGAGCGTGCAGATCCAACCTGAACAGCATACCGAAGCTGTAGAAGTGAATGTCCCGCCTACGGGGACTTCTACAATACCTATCATGGAGGCATCTCGCCCCGAAAAGAAGAAAAAGCCTCTGATCAACCGCAACCGCCTAGGGCTGTTGGGTGCGGTGCACGCTCACCTCGGGACGCCAGCTGGCAGGTCAAGGCTTCATACGCAGGATGAGATTTCAACAGAATGTCCACAGAACCCTCCCGCGACAACAAATGTCGGCCCAAATACTTCCTCGGTGCCATCGCGAAAACCAGATCTCCTCAGGCACCTTTCGGACATTACTTCAGCGTCTACTCCTACTCCAATTTCGAATGCGACTTCACCCCCGGACACGCAAGTGTCCCACGACTCAGACCCGCATGCGCCACCACGGCAATCCGCTCGCGACATTATGGCACGCACGCGTGCGCGCCTCGCGAAGCTGAAGAATGAGCCTGTTGCGGGTATTTCCATCCCCGCATCCCCGTCGCCTGTTGATAATTCCGAGCCATCCCTATGTGTGGACGCGGGAGCCCGCGAGAGGCTGCTAAGCCGACTCGAACAAGCGAAGCGGCAGGCCGAAGGATCCCCTCACACAGCGGATGTCGACATGGTGGACGCGGATGTGCAGACTGAAGCAAGGCTCAAGAAGCAGGCGCAGGTGCGAGTGCGGCTTGCCGCCGCTAAGCGCCAGCAGGAGAAGGAGCATGAGCTGATGCAGTCCGACAACTTTAACATGAGTGGGGACAGCCGGGAGGAGGAGTTGAAGATGAAAATTAAGGGGAGGCGATGACCAGACGGTACATGAGTGAATTAAGGTGGTTGTCCTTGATGGCGGTCTTGTATGTCAAGACACCATCCTCGGTTTTAGGGCCTCGAGATACCGATGTTGTCGCTGGAGCAACGTCATGGATTCCTGATTCAAAGATCGATGGTTCACAAGATTTCGAGTCTCTGTATTGTCTCTCACAATCCTAGTGCTCATTCTGCAATGACCTTCGCATTTTAGCCTCACAAACGTTTACAAATCGTTCATGATTGTGCTGAATTCATAAATGGATAGCTAATTAGTCAGTGCCATCATATTATATCCAAGCCCATGATCACTTCAGATACCCCAACTTGCCCTCCTAACACAGTACAATAACCCAGTCACGGTTGATATAATTTTACTGCGATCTAAGGTTTAAACTCCGATAAACTCACCCCTGTCAGTTTTTTATAATATCCTCAACCACTCTCGACCACTACGAACACTTCTGAATCCGGGACATCATTAGTCTTTCCATCTTCCATAGCGATGATGACATCAAATTGCCGTTTTCAGGATGCTATCCGCCAACGCAGTTTGCAAGAACTGTGGGCATTCGCCGCTGAGTGAAGCGGAAGCTCAAGTCTGCTCAAGTACCTGAAGTTGTTCACCTGGATCGTCTTTTAGTGAATGGGGTGCTTCCTCCAGATGGAGAATCCAAGATTCGGGAGACCATAGAGATCTCAAAATCAAGGATCACTTCACTCGACGATGAAATTGGTCGTATCGCAATTCTGCTTGACCATTTGCGACGAAGACGTGAGGAGCTACACGAGTTCACAATGGCTCATGCTGCTCTCATAGCCCCCATCCGGAAACTCCCTCCAGAGATTCTGCAACTCATTCATCTACATTACACGGATTTGGAGCGTCCCAGTATCTCCCCCGAGGATCGCGTCGGCCGTGCTCCATTGGTGCTCGCGAGTGTTTGCAAAACATGGCGAAATGTTACCTTATCACTACCGGCAGTATGGTCAGATATCCACCTATATCTGGATCCACATCGAGTGCATACAGATGCGAAATGGATGCGTATATGGCTTGATCGCGCCGGCAATTACCCGTTATCAATCACTTTAGGGGCCAGCGAATCAGGATTTTTTGGAAGTTCACACTACAACTCCGTTATGAATCTGCTTCTGTCCGAGTCTCATCGCTGGCAGAACGTCGATATCACAAAATTACCGCATATATTGCGCGAGAATCTTATCAAAGAGGACCATAGTTATTTCCCAATTCTCAGTTCTCTTCGCTTTTCTGGGCAGCGCCTCCCTTTGAAAGATATCTCTCGAAAAGCGCCCATCCTCAGTACTCTCACTATCTATCAATTTTGCGCAGACCAATTGGGGGCCACTTGCACTCAGTTACGCAAACTTTCTTTGAAAGGATCAGACTCTGCCAGTTCCGATGCGATCATTAGCATGCTTTCCTTGTGTCCAAATCTCAACACGCTGGAAATGCCATACCGCACGCATGGTCAGCATACCTATCGCGAACGCTCGATATATCTTCCCAGGATCACAAGCCTAATAATACACATTAGAAAATCCATAGGCTCGCACAGAGATATCTTCGACGCTCTACAATTCCCCAAGTTGTGTAAGGTCGTCTTTCACATTTCAAGTCTCGTGAATGAGGCGTGGACCACATCAAACAGCCTTCTAACTCTCCTCTCACAAAGTCCTATAACCTGTCTAGAAATCATAGCACCTAATCGCCTTGCCAGCCCAAGTGGAGAAGCTTTGATAAACATCCTGTCCGCTCTACCTTGGCTGCAGTTCTTGCGTTTATCTGGAATAGGCATTGCCCGCTGTATGGACGGCTTTGTTTCTAATCGCCTCGCCAGTCACACATTTACGCCTATGCTAGTGCCAATGCTAAGCCATATCACTTTCTGGGACGATGCACATCAAGTCGACATTGCAGCGTTTGCGAATGCCTTTGAATCCCGAGATATATCTCACCCTGGTGTTTTTAAATCAATGGCCATAGGGTGTGATTGTTTGCGAGATAGAGATTGCCTGACGGAGAAAGGGCTGGGGGGAACTAGTAGCTTGGATCGCCTCCGCAAGCGAGGCGTCTTGGTAGCGAGAGTCGATTAAGGTTCTGAGGTGGTGGAAATTAATACCAGTATACATTCTGTTGTAGACCCGCAAACATCTCAAGCTGTTGTCTATGATAGACAACACGATGTGGTAAGTTATTATGCAGAAATT